GAATGTCTGAAGAAAGCTAGACACTGTCTCCTCAGCCTCCTAAACTTCGTTATTTTTCTGCGAATTCCCCATCTGTTCAGTCTTCATTATCCCTCACACACACGGTACCTGCTGCTGAGCACGGAACCGCAGGTGCGGTTGTGCCAGAAGAGCAGGAAGGTAATTACCATCTCTGCCCCACGATGTACCAACACTACACACCCCAAACTGCATACGCTTTTGCTGCAACTGCTTTCCTCTCCAACACAGCATATCCCAAATGTGCCGCTTTCTAGACACTGCCCCATCTGAAGCCTTTCTGACTTTTATGCTTTCCAGATTTCCTCCTCTCAATGAACATGTATCTTTTAAATTGCCTTCTCCAGTTAATTGCCTTAACTCTCCAATTTACACCTCTCGGTATTTGGCAAGAGTCCTACTTCCCTGCCAGTTTTCTCTTCCCTCTTCCATCCTACCTGTAAATTATTTCCTTGCTATCCCCAACCATCTGACTTCATTAATCCATTTTGTTTTCTATTTCTGAACTCCTTCCCCTTTCCCTAAAAGATTCCTCAGATTCAGCATATTAGTATATTCTACTTCAGTTCCTCACAAACTTCACTGCCCCCAGAACAGTTTCACCGACGCGCACCTCCGTGGAGTGCATTTGGGCATGATAGGTTTTTGAGAGGAAGCAGACTCCTGCACCACCACTATGAAATGGAGACAAAAAGTGATTCGTGACCCTGCTGCCCTTTCCATGCTGGCACATTTGAATATTTTCTTACGTTCCATTTCATGGGCCCAGCTTTTAAATCTCCATTAAACTGCTTTCCTGAAATTTAACATCTTTCTACCAGCACAGTCTCTTTACCATCCACATCTAAAACTAACCTTTAATGTTAAGTCTCTAGGGTCTTAACCTGTTAACACTGGCTGTGTACAAATCCAAACGAGTTCAAAGTCATGTAATCATTATCCAGTATAGCCAAAGTAGGTGATTTTTCAGGAGTTATTTCTTTCTGGGCATGAACTGACCAAAACCTAGAACAACAGCACTGCAGTTGTCAAGTACTAAGGTTTGTTGGGAGAGACCTGTGGGCAAGGCTATGATTTTCCTGTCTTCCAACCTCAACACCTGTGGCAGTAAGCAAGAAAAACAACAAGTCATGGGAATAAAAAGTTCAGCAAAAGGTGAGCAAGTAATGAAAAGAGAGAAACATCAAGCTCCAGCAAAGACCCCGTAACATGAAGATAGCCCCCGAAAGTTTGATTTTGACAAAAACTAAAAAATAAGTGAAAGGCATGTTTCTTCTGGAGCCTGAGCTCTGCCCCTCCTCAGAGAGGGCTCTGATAGGTGGGGCCTGTTTGCCCCTGCATGCACACATACTCAATCTATGTTCCACAAGCCTTTCAAAAATGTTGAACTGATCTGTGTAAATGCTGCCGGTTTTGCCTTCGCTGGAAGCAGAAATCTTCCAATCCCTGCAATATTCTAATCCTGCCCAGAAACTCTACTTTTAAAGCAGACAAAGGTAATAAAATATCCGTGCCTACTCACATCTGTGCCCTACATGGTGATTTTACTTAATTTCCTTCAAGAATCAGCAAGAATTGGATGGAACATGAAGAAGTAGGGCAATGTAAACAGCCACAGCCCATATTCCCTGTTCCTCTCTACTGATATGCATGAAACAGCTTTATCCCTTATTGTGGTGCATTTTTCACATTAATAAAAGATGAAAATGCATCTCTGCATTATTTAATTTACTCTACATATCCAACTCCTGCACATGCCTCGAAAGGGTGTTTAGTTCCTGCCCTCTCCAGAGCATCATTCAGGGAATTCAGTTAAACAGGTCCCGGGTAGCAGAGGCCGCAGTGCCACAGCAGCTTTTCGGGATGTGTTCATTTACGTTTGACTTGTCCTTAAAAACCTCCAGTGACAGATGCTGCGGTATGCCTGGGCAGCTTCCCCCCTTCCTCACACATCCTCAGAGGAAGTTTTTCCTAATTTTGCATTTAAAATTCCCTGAAGACAGAGGCAGCTGCTCCTCTGTGGATGTGAAGAACATCCGAGCACGGCCCTTGCAGCGTACTCCCCAACACCTGCCCTCTGTAATTCACCACCAGAGAGTGTGAGAAATGGTTTGTGCGGGCTGCGGCTTCTCTTCAGGGCTGGGACACCATTGTTACTTTTCTTACTGATGTAACACAGCTCAAGATGAAAATTAGGCCTTTCATCTTAGCCCATCACACCCCTCTGGCTCAAGAGGGCACCTTTCACAGCAGACCCTGGAAACATTCACCCTGAGCTTAACCTTTCACACCTCGCAGCCATTAGCTCTTTGCTGGGCCCACACAAACCTTTTCCCTGCTTCCACAGATTAAAAAAAAAAAATAAAAAATTGCTGCTCTCCCTTGACATCACATTTTCTACCCTGAGAAAACAAGGCTGTGCCTTGCCTGGTTGCCAGCCAGCTGCTTCCCAAACCTCATTGCACTGTGGCGGAGTGGCTGAGCCGGTCCTCCAAGGGGCCATCCCAGCCTCCTGGGCAGGAGGACACACAGAGCCCCGCAGCTCAGCTGGGCCCACAGCTGCTTCCTTTCCCACAGCCAGATAAACCAAAGGAGCTGAGGAGAGGTGTCCTATCTGCTGGCCCTGAGTTCTCATGGAGCTCAGGGCTGTTCCCATCTCTTTTTCTTTCACCTGACACTAATGATACTTCTGATTTTTGCTACTTGTTTTGTCTGTTGTTGTTAAAGATGCTCTTTTATTTCCTACCCTCACACAGACCTTCCCTGTGCAAAGGTACACCAGTAAAAAAGATTTAGAGACAGAGTTAAGGTTACTGGGGACTTCCCCTCATATTTCCATGAAACTCATGAATAAATAAGTAACTTCAAAATGATCTTACTCTAAAGTAATCTAACTGAATCCAGTTTGCTACTGTTATTTTTAAAAAACAACCTTTCAATTCTCATCTTCTCTACCAAGTTATGACTGGTTATTTACAGCCCAAGCTCTGCTTCAGTTAATTGTTTTGTTTAGAAATACTAATTAGAGAACAGCAATTTCAACTGATGTCATTACCACGGCAAATCTTAATGAAGAGCCTAGAAACAAGTTTCTTCTTTTTTCAGCGGCACATTCAGCTTTCAGAGTGACCTTCTCACACTGAACTCATATTGACTGAAACATCTTCATTCCTCAATGTTAGCATTTCTAAATCATAGAAATGACATCAAAGAAACCATAAGGGTCTGACTTTTATCATCAAAATAAATTCTGATTTACTGTACTCTTTGCAATACTTAGGCACAATAGGGTACATGATTAGAACATAGTAGAGGTAACCGTATACCCATTGTGCCTTGTTAACTGAGGATGCATGGTACACTCCCACTTAAAATTTGAACTTTGTAGCTTTTATGGGTTTAATTTAGACCCTTGGGGCTACACATGCATTGAAGATTGCACACATAATATCCGGTACTGTTAAAAGTGGTTGCACACACAGCCATATTTCTGATTACTTATCTTTTTTTTCAGAAAAAACCCTACCCCACAGTTTAACTAAAATTTCCCGAAAATTATGAATAATTAATTTTTGTTTTAATGGCATAACTCTGAAAGAAGCAGAGCAAAACACACCTAAGCACATACCCACCAAGATAAGGATGTGTTCAAATCCTTTTCTGGATTGGGACCAGAATCAGGTAGAAGCAGCCCCTAAGACCTAATTTTCAGTGCAGACATGCGCACATATTTTAGGTGGGTTTGGTAAGAGAGACAGTTAAGCAATTTTTTTGACAGATCCCCTACTTAAGATGCACATTTTACACACCAGATGCCTGCCTGAAGCTGAATATTTCAGAGAGGGGGAAAAAAAAAAAAATCAAGCAAAATGGATAATTTCTGAGAAAATACGTAATTTGATCCGGCATAACCCAACTTCTGATTTTTTTAATTTGCAAACTTAAACTGCACCCCCTCATACTTCTTAGAGCTCCACTGGTAAAATACAGACAGAGATACCTTAGTCTCCTATTTGTGCTGCGGATATATCGCATGTGTGTTCATGCCATAGGTTGAAAGCATGCACTGTTTTAAAATGTAAATGTATTTTCAATTATTGAACTAGATTTCAGGAGTAAAAATGCTTTTTAGATTTATATATACAAATTTGATTTCTAGAACTATACATGCATATATATTCACTGTCCCTCGTTAAGAAACAGCCAAATCCATCTCCTTTATATAACATTCATTCATGAATCCTAGAATTGCCTGATGTTGCCCGACGCAAAAAATACAGACAAACCTATGAAACGCGTTTTTTAATTAAAAGCCCATTCTGTGATCTGGCAATGCGAACTAAACGGCTATCAGGCTGTTAAGTCTGACAACACTGAATCGGCACTTTGTCTACAGCACAGATTTCACACTCATCTGCATGCTTAAGCGCTGCGCTGGACAGAAACAAACTGCCAGTCAACCTTCCAAAACAAACCCGCAGGGGACCTGGGGGACTGTTTGGTGTATCAGGGGGTTCGCTCTAATAAGATGCTACGTTGCAGTAACGAAGAACTATCCCACTTGCATTCAACAGAAATTCTGTGGCAATTATTTCACACGTGCCAATGTTCTGGTACCTTAAAAAAAACCCCTGCAGAATCCAGCAAACGATGAGGCGGACGAGCCGTATGCAGGTCAGCCTTAGGCGAGGGCCCGCACATTTGGCTAACTATCAATGAAAGGACCCTTTTTTTTTTGCCGCTGGATCTGCTCAAAATGGGCTCGTTACAAGCAGGGTTTGTTCCCATGAACTCGGGCTGCAGTGCAAACTTAAATATGATGCCTCGAAAGGCAAGGGGTGATTTTTCGGTCACAGCAATGGTGCTTTTGACTCAAGTCGGAGGAGCAGACCCTCTGTCAACACCGCTGGTAGGCTCTGATGGTAAATGCACACACTCGCTCAATACACAGGCAACCGCTGTGGCAACAGTAAATGCTTCACCTTGCCATGCATGAGAAGGCGTATGGTAAGCGTGACATTGAGACCTCCTTCAGTCACTTTTGTGTCCTTCGTGTTCATCCTGGACTTGTATCTTCAATACTTGAAAGCAGCTTTGTTTTTCCTTTTTTTTTTTTTTTTCTATTCACTTAACCTATGAAAACAGAGAGAGAGAAAGAAAAAGTACCATTGAGTGGCTGAAGCTACTCTGAACTGAGAATACCATGTTGTACAAACCAATTAACATTCCTCCCTTTGATATTCTGGACTACAGTTTAGTGCCAAAAAGGCTCTTTGATTAGTATCCCTCCCCAACCAACTCCTTAGCCCATCACCAATTACGAGACAAACTCCCTTTTGAAACCTGAAAAATTCTCTTCCTGTATTTAAAAATTGAAAGCACAACAGAGTCAAATGCAGTGTTTTCTTCTGAACAGCATTTTTTCTCTTAACCTTTGTGGTATGTATATGCAATATATAATAATAATATCATATACTATATATGAGATATATATAATATATAGATATGCATTTTCACATGTGACTTGCGGTGTTTTCATTTTTCTCTTTGTTACTACCTCCTTAGATTTTTTTTCCTCTCTTGCAGAAGAGGTATTTTTGTTTTCTCTCCAGCTAGAGAGAAATTAATTCTGAGCCTAAACACTGATCCCTACCAGCAACAGCAAATGACACGTTATCAAAGACATCTGAGTAACTAAGAGCACCTTGCTGCTGTAAATCTGGGCACTGTCTGACTTTGGTTTTCTCTACCAGGCCCAGAGGTGGCTCAGTCCCTCAAAGGCCAAAGCTGAGCTTCAGCCCTAAGTAGAAGGAAGATTTTTCTTAATTCCTAATGACAATTTGCAGATTTTCTAAGCCATAAATATCCTAAAATGCTAATGAAAGCTGCAAGGGCTGGGCTTTGAAGGGATAAACAAGGTGCATTATGAGTTTACTGATACAAGGACATTTATCAGTACAAACAAAAATGGGGGCAGGAAGGAGTATTACACAGTGCAGTCCGATTCCACAGTAGAGAAGGTGTAGAGACTCATTTAGTTTTGTCCCTTTCAGGCCCGCCTTACACAGCATAACCCTCCAACTTAAACTGACATCAGGCCTCTCAGTAACCATCACTTACTAATGTCAACCCTATGAGCTTCACATGTGCCTTAAATCTGCTGTCATTTCCCCTTTTTACACACTTTGTCCTCTGTGCTTTATCTGAAGACCACCCCAGCAAGCAAGTCACTCCTCTGATGGCTGATGCTTCTCCCGTCAGCCTGAGCCTGCTGGTGGCCAAGCCACTCCTGACGTTTTTGCTGCTGGAAAATGCACTGGAAGATTCATCATTCATGTCCCACAGGAGTAGTTAGAACCACAGAGAGTTGCTGTTTCTCCCATGACTGCAATAAGAAGAGGCAGACATGCTTGAGGAGGAGACATGAAAAGAAAGAGGGATAAAGAGCAACTTAAACTCCTCCCCCCTACAGGGAAATTCATTAGTCGCCACCACAGAGCAGTTCCCATCTACCTGCTCTGTTGCCAGACTAGATACAGGCTTACAGTTGCTATGGCCTTTTACTGCTGTGATGCTGCTGAAGTATGATCACTTTGGGAAAAACTTAGGAAGAAAGCCTTTTCCCAGACAACAAATCTATCCCCATCCAACCCTGACCTTACCCAGATAAAATCAGAAAAAAAAAAAAAAACCAAAAAACCCCACCAAAACTGTATTTTTAGCTATTATCTTTTGGGTTCTTTTTAAAAACAGAGGTTAAAAATAAAAATCCACTGCAAATATTGCTAAAAATATCACTGCCATCTAATCTTTTGCAGGATGTTGTCTTTGCCCCTCCTCCCAACAAGCTCAAACTCTGGCACCTGATACTGAGAAGCAGAGCAGATGTCTGAGGGAGGGCTGAGAGCGCATATGCGCCTGCAAGGAGCTAGGCAGCTGTGTGAGATACAAAGGGAATGAATTCAAAAAGGCAACCTCACATGGTAAGGAAGAATACGTGAAACCTATACATACACCACAAAGAAGGAGTTTTTACTATGTCAGGTTAGTTACAACTGCCCCGGTTGTCCTGAGAGTCCAAGTATTCGGGTAAAACATTTACAGCTTTGTAAAGTAAACCTACAGGACTGCTGTTTATCTGAGCAGTTCAGTTTTAAAGACAGATTAAAATAACATGCATTCTACTTCATTATTTTTAACTAATTAAGGCAAATTTTTCCACAGGCATCATCACAAACACATGCTGGTCTAGATCTCTGTGTGATGGAGATGCTACATCAAGGCACAAGGAAGAGAATGGCTTCCTCTACAAAGCCTTCTCTGAGCCAGCAATACATCTACATATTTACTGCTGTAATATATGAGCATATCATGATTATTTAAACAGTAAAATAATTTCCCTCTCATTTGCAAAATCAGCATTTTGGACAATATACTGCTTCTGGCTCTCTGTGTGAGCAAAAGAAGGCTAAATACATAAGGGTTTCCTGTCTTAAGCTCTGCGTGACAAGGTCCCGCAGCTACTCTGGGGGCTGTGAGAGCTGAGTGAGATCAGACCAAAAAAAAAATTAAAAAAAAAAAATCAATGTGTCACACTTTTCCTGATGCCAGAGGAAAGTCAGGGGACTCCCCAGGTGAGCAGAGAGCATCGTGCAGGCAGCTGCAGTCAACGACATGGCTGCACGTTGGGAGCGAAGGTTTGTGTGTTTTACCCTACCTTCAGCAGAGTGGGCAGTGACAGGAGGATGGCTGGACAACACCCTCCTCCTCACCTTGTGACTCTGGACCAGAATTCACAAAATCCAACAGCCAGGGCTCTGCAGCTCCAGGTAATAAGCAGAGAAAAAATCATGCCCAGGGATCAAAGGGAAGTAAATCACACCAGATAGATCTTTGCCTCCCATCAGACTGCTAGGAACTAAGCGTGAACTTTTGAGGACATTTCCACTGCTGTTTATCATGTAAAAAGTGGAAGTTTCTCGTTAGGTAGAAAAAGGCATCCAAATGCATTAAAAAGATTTGAAAACTCCAATAAAATTAAAATGTAGTCATGCAAATACCTTTTATCTATAAACATGTATTTCTATACATTTTCTGTATTAGCTAATCCAAGTTGGCTGAAAATGGCACGTCCTATCTGCTCACTATTCACTACATTAGAACCATCAATTTTCTAACATGGCTCTTCAGGAAGTGTTGGTAGATTAAGCGACTGAAGCAACAAGCAGCTAAGCCACGTGTTCATCAGACTACTACAAAGAACACCACAGTTCCTCAAGGATTTCACTGCATTAATAAAAGCTAAAAGATGAGCTATACAGCCAAAGGGCAGTGACAGAACCCCACACCCCCACACGGAGGTTAGGAATCCACGTGGCTGAGGGGTAGTGCAAGATGGCTGTCTGAAGCCTGAGACATGAAAAGACAACCTCATGGCTCCCCTTCTTCCTACCCCCATCAAGCCTAGCAATCCCTTCCCAAGAAAACAGGTTGATCTAGCAATCCCTTCCCAAGAAAACAGGCAGACCACTGCAGAGAATGTGGCTTCATAGTGCTTAAAAAGAAAATAAATGTATGCTTTAAATCTCCGAGCTGACCACTTCAGGCATGCAGGCCAAGAAAGCCTTTGACTCCAGAGCAGGCAGGGATGCCCAAGATGAATAAAATCACCATAATGCCAAGGTTGATATCTGTCAATTGATCTCTAAGTTTAAAGTCACAATAAATTATTTGACATCCGTGAATCTGCCAAGAAAGCTACTCATCTGGAAGATCAAGAGGAATGAGAGGGAGGAGAGGGAGAGTGTGCACAGGGTGAAATGGGAGGGAGCTACACAGTCAGAGATGGGCTGGAAAGGGATGCAGAGAGGAGAGAACGAGAAAGGGAGGGAGAAAGAGAGATGAAGCTTCAGATGGCCGATACAGAGAATAATGCAAGAAGAATCAATGTGAAAGTAAGAACATTCAAGGAGAAAGCCTGCAAATACATGAGATCTTGATCGTATGGTGGTTAAACCTGCGCCTGTCAGGAAAGATGAAGCTGGTCAGAGCACCCAGCACAGCATTCCCTGTGACTGAGACTCAAAAGGGACTCTTGAACCTAATTATGGTGCTTTATCACCATCAACAGAAAGATGTAATTATGGAGAAAGCTAGGAAGAGTCTACAGATAAAATTTAAAAGAACACATTCCAGTTCTTTCACCTAACAAAGAAAAAAAAGTTATAACAAAGAAAAAATGGTGGAAATCAGTGAAATTCAGCAGAAGCCATGCCCATTTTAAATGAGGAAACTTAATCTCAGTTATCTAGTTCCAATGTATCTGTAGGTTTGGAAAAATGAAAACTTCAATAAAGGAAACATAAGAACAGCCAATCTCATAGGAAATCTGTCATTCCCATAATATAGGGAAACATCCCAAAGGAAGGGTAGCTAAGCAGATGATCAAGGCATAGGGATGGGGTCAGGAAAAGACAGGGGCTGAACAAAGAGGCTAAGACATAAGAAGAGTAGCCTGAAGATGAACAAAGAATTATCATGAGTTGTGAAGAATTGGAAGTTGGACAGTAACACACCGATGTTATGAAGAAATAGTTCAGAGACTGGTTTATTTAGCAAGAACTCCCTAAAATAAAAGTGTTATTACCAATAAAAGAAAAAAAGATAAGAGTGAACAAAAAAGAAGGGAGAAAACTGAAACTTTGGAAGCTGTGAAAAGGCTGTAGCTGAGTTCTCTTGATCAGAAGCCTCCAGGTGGAATGAAACCTCCCAGGAATTGGAAGCAGCACACTGCCAAGGATCACGATGAGAAGAAAGGACCTGTGCTTTCAGCAGAGCAGAGTTCTTTGGGGACAGCTTTATACTATTTACATGATTTTTAGCCTTTCATTTAAACTAGAGGGAATGTAGGAAAAGAGACTGAAGGGAATATAAGAAAATTATTATAGGACAAGAATCAATGACATTATACATATGAATTGACACATTCAGCCATATATGTAAGGTTTAAAATTAAAATTAATGTCTGCCACAGAAAGGTTCATGCTATAAAATGAGGAAAAAACTACTTTGCTTTCAAGTTCTTTGATAAGCTAAGCAGTCATTATCTATGGCTTTTCACTT